AAAAAAGGAAAAAAAAATTACGGCTGCCGATTTTCAAAAAGATAAAGAGGTAAAAATTAAAAATCCTAATCTTCATTTGGCTACTCTGGCAGCAACAACCGATGAAGGAAAAAATCCCAAATTGGAAGTAAAATTATATTTTCAGAAAAATTGAGGTTATCATGAGGAAGAAGAACAAGAAAAAAATTATTTGGCAGATGAAGAAAATGTTATTGTTTTTTCTACTGATTATTCTCCAGTCAAAGGTGATGGAGTAAGTTTTCAAATAAAATCAGTAGTAATTGGCAGAGAAAAAACCGAAGAAGAATTAATGCTTACGATTACTACTAATGGTGTGGTTGAACCGAAAGAAGCACTTCAAGAAGTTTTGGCGATATCCCAAGACGCTTTTGGTCGTATTTTCCAATTAATTAATGACAATAGCAAAAAAGGAGAAAAATTAATTCTGGAACCGACAGCCGAGACAAAAATATAATAAAAAAAAATAATCATGTCCTATATCAATAAACCTGGTAAAACTACTGCTTGACGAAGTCATGTCCTTAATAATTTGGTGGCAGACGCCATTTTATACGAAAAAGTGGAAACAAGTTTGCCAATGGCTCGCAGCCTAACCAAATTATTAGCAAAACTTATTGGATACGCTAAACAGGATAATTTGCACGCCCGCCGTTTGGCCCTAAAACACCTGGTCAACAAAAAAAAAAACGTTGATCGACAAGGAAAAAAAATGTTGGATAAATTATTTTCGGACTTAAAAGAAAGATACAAAGACCGTGTAGGTGGTTATAGCCGAATTACCAAATTAAATTATCGGTTGGGTGATAATAATTTGCGAGTAATTTTTGCTTTGGTGTAAAATACTATGACAACGATAAACAAAAAAAATAATTTCGACCAATTTTATACCAATCCGTTAATTGCCAAAAAACTCACCAGTATTTTTGCCGAAGAGGTAAAAAAATATTAGCCTTTGATATTGAATCCCAAGCCACCGAAGCAGAAAATATTATCCAAACTGATTTTCTAACACTAAATTGAAATAAATCAATCAATAATTTCAAAAGCCTAGTTAGCTCAGCGGTAGAGCGTCCGGCTGTTAACCGGTTGGTCGTAGGTTCGATTCCTGCACTAGGCGCCATTTTTTAATATCATGTTCGAGGCCAAATTTGAAGCCCGTTATTTAAGCAAAAGTCGGTATAAATTTTTAAGAATAAAGAATTGCGAGAATATTATGTGTTTACAGTGTCAAATTCGACCGAAGTGCCCAATTACAAGAGCCTAAGTAATCCCCCATGAACCTAGAATTAGCGAAAAAAAAAACAGTTAGAGAAATTGGAGAGGTTAAAATATTTGGCAAAAATTAAGGCTAAAAAACAAGATTAATTTTTTTCTCTAGAAGGCAGAGTAAGAAAATCTCATACAAGGCTAAAACAAGGCTGATTTGCTATTAAAGAGATATCTTATTCTCAATCTCTTTCTAATATACTCATAATCTTATCAGTTAGTAAATAATTTTTCAATTCTTCGGCTATTACTTTATGTTTTTCATTATGACCTTTTGCTTCATTATACAAATCATAAATAATACAATGAGCTATCTCATGAGCGATAGTTTCCAAAAATTTTTCATAAGTATATTCCTCATTGCTAGTAGTTTGATAGCCCATCATCGAGAAAAGAAAATGCTTATTCAGATAAATAATGTGCTTATTGACTGAAAAATCAGTAGTTAATTTTATTTCTCAACTCATTTTGCGACCATATCAATCATTACTAAATTCAAAACCACCAAAAGAGATAAAATGTTCTTTGCAAACCTTTTCTATTCTTTCTTGTCATTCTGCCGACAATATTTTTTTGATATTGGCATAATAATTGTGGTAATAATATCGATAAGCCTTATTAATTACATACTCGATAAACTTCTCCATGAATTATTTAATCTCATTAGGACCACAAGCCAGGGCGTTTGGTTCTTTTTCACAAGTTTTTTCTTTAATAGTTCCTTGTTTTTTGTCAAATTCATTATTAAGAAAAAAAGTGTGATAAATTTCTAATTTAATCTTTTCTTTTTTGTTTTTTTCAGTAGCAATTTTTTGCTCTAAGTTTTTTTGACCTTCGGATCAGGATTTAGCCAATTGTTGTCTTTTTTTTTGTAGGTTAGAATTATTTATTCGATTAAGAGTTCTCATAATAGATAATTTTATTGTTTTTGAATAATTTTGGATTATTTTTTTCTTCCTCATCTTACGAGAGAGAATAGGAGTTTATGAATTTTCATCATCAGCAACTTCCTCCGGCAAATTTTCATCTGATATTTCTTTGGTCTCGACAAGATTTCATCTTAATTCGTTTACTATGCTTTTTACTTCTTGTAATGTGTTATTTATATTTACCATTTTGCTGCATATTTATTGTGATTTGGGTGTAAAAAAAATATATAGACAAAAAGAGGGTTAAAAAAGTTCTGATTAGAAAAATAAACATGATATTTTTGAATAGACAGCGATAAGAAAAATAGGTAGAAACCCCCCCATTTTATTTCTGGTAAGAATTAACTTCTATTTGTTGAAATTGTTGTGGTTCTTTTCCTTTGTTCTTCTCTGAAT